TTATAGTCCTCTAGAAGAGGAGGTTTAAGTGGGGATGTTTGGAAGTTTGTGTTTGTAATTTGGTTTGTAATATTAATCCATTCTTTTAATAAAGAAGTTTGGAAGATAAATTTTTTTGAGAAGCTGTTAAGAAGATATGAAATGTTAGCTAGATTTGTTATTGGCAGGGGAATGTTATTTCAAGATCAAGGATTTTGTCAGGAGATAATGATAGCCTTTTCCTGATATAGAAAAAGTTGTTTGGTAATAGTTTGAAGTAGTAGGTTTTGCAAAGGAGTATAGTTAGTTCTTGTATAATTATTAAGCTATCTCTGATATTAAAGGAGAAGAAGTTTTGATATTTAGGTTTCAACAAGTGGTAAGTTAATGGAAGTGGTTTTTTTGATGGTAGTAATTTGAAGTAAGAGCTGGAGAGATTGGAAGGGATTTGATAATTTTCATGGAGATGGCTCTTTATATTAAAGAGCCTAGTTAATTTATTGTGTTTTTTGATTGGAAAAATTTCTCTATATTTTGATAGAAGGTTGGCAGAATTTTCAGGTAGTAGAAAATTGATTTTAAAAAAGCTGTTTGGAAGTTTTTGGAATTTGTAATGGGATCTTAGTGTATGTAGGATTGAAACAAGTTGAGATTTGTTTTGCATTAGTAGGTTGTATAGAAGTTTGATTTTTATATTAGCTGGGATTTTATTTGGTAAGGATAGGAGTTCTGGAAGTAGTTTGTCTACTGATTTCTTGAGTTTATCTTGAGAGTAGTATAGTCAATAAAAAACTGTGGTTTACAAATAAAATAGTTATTAAGATATGTGAGAAGGCTGACTAATTTGTAAAAGAGTATATTGTTAATGTCGATAGTTTTGAAATAGATGATTAATAGAATAGTGCAAATGATCACTTGAATTTTTTTTTTTGTTTCCAAGTTGATAAAGTTGAGATTGCATTCTTTTTTGTATTTTTCTTGGAAGTCCTTTTCAATTTCATTAAATTCCTTTTGATAAACCGATTTGATTTCTGTTTTGGAAGTGAAAGAGTTGAAAAAAGTGTAATCCTTGAAGTTAAATTTGTTAAATATGGGTTGAAGAAAATATAGAGGGTATTTGGATAGTTTTCTGATTTTTGTAATAATTTGAATAACTGTAGTTATATTATTTGATGCTGGTAAAAGTTAATTAGCTAGGGATTCTGTTTCTTTATGAAGAGTGTTGTATTGTTTGTTATCTCGAATTTGTTGTAATTCTTCCTGAATTTGGCAATCAAAAGAGGATGACCATGTGTTTGATTGAGGTGGTTAGTTGTTGTTATTGGTAAATTTGAAGAGTTGATCAAGGTTTATAATATCTTCAAAATTAATATATTGTAATTGATTTGTTGATTCTATTTTGCTAATGTCTATTAGATTGGAAATGGTTATAGAGTTGTCAAGTAAGCTAATTATTGATTATTGATTGGAGATGTTTGGTTGCAAGGAATTTGCTGAAATAGGATTGAGATCAGAAAGTTTCATTGGTTTGTCATGTGTTTCACTGATTTTTATAGTGTTGCCATATTGGAGGAGGCTGAAGTGATAGGCAGAACACTTGCATATACTTGTATTGTAATTGATTAATTGTCATTTCTTTTTTGGAGAACAAGAAAATTGATAGATGATAGATTATTTTCAGAAAGAAGCTGCATGGGGTTTTTTGTTTTATTTTTTAGAAAAGAGAAAAAATTCTTGGAAGCATTTATGAAGGTGTTGATCAAGTTAAACTTTTTCCATTTTATTGACAATATTGGTGATGTAGTTGAAATCAAAGTTTTCAATTTTGAAATTTTGGACAATGGCTCTGATTATAGGAATTGCATCTTTTTTGACAACAGTTTCTTTGAAAATAATAGTTTTAGTATCTTTAATGGCACTAGTATTAAGAATTTCTTCTATGTTTTTCCTCTTTTTGATGATAAGGAAGCATTTGGGATAGTTGATAAGGTTGAAAATGATGATGGTTCTGGCATAATCAATTTTGTGGATTGTATTTGTTTTTAAGTCAAGATAGAAAATTTGAAGTTTACAATTTCAATTGTTATGAATAGTTGCATAAAGAAATTGTTTTTGATTTGTTGAGAAGATTGAGAGCTTCATGATAGAAGTAGTTGAGATGTAAAGTATGCTTGAAGGTACCTGGAAAGGAACAAAGTATTTGTTTTAAAGGTTATTACTATAAAAAGAAATTTTTTGTTAAAAATCAATTTATGGGAAAGAGTTTTTTTTACAATATAGCAGAATACAATTTTTATATATACTATCTTATTATTTATTATTTATATCTTTATATAAAAGTATTAATTCAATATTCTTTTTTGAAGTTTTTTATTTTAATAATTAATAGTTAATCAAAATTAGTTAAAATGAAATATGGCCCAATTTGTATATTCAATTTGTAAGGTTTAATTAGAATTAGATCAAAAGTTTTTTTTTATACAATTATTTTTTTTTTATGATCTGTTGCAATTTTACAATTACTAAAAAGATCAAAAGTTTCATCTTTATATAATCTAATTAAAAAAAATATGTAACAAGTTTTTATAACCAAGTGAATTTAAATCTTAAACCTTTATTTAATAATTTATAGAATTTTATTACTAAACTATAGATCTATAAGTTTGAGAAACAAGTTTATTTAATATATAAAAATTATTTATATTAATAAAATATAAAATTTAATATATAAACTATTTCTGATTAATTATAATAATTATCAAGTATTCATTTATTGAGAATTGTATATTCACATATAAGAGAATAGAAACTCTATTTGATAGCTTGTATAATGAAAATTTATTTGAGATGTTATCATAATTATACAGAGAGATCTAACAAAATTATTTCTATAGTAATAATTTCTTATTTTACTTTTGTAATAACAATAATTAAAATATTAAAATTGTACCTGTATCAATACTGTATACTAACAAAAGAAATCTGTTTTTGTTCAATTTATCTATTAAACAAAAAAATTTGAAGATTTAAATTATATATAAAGATAAGACATAAAAGTAATCTTATTAATGGAAAGCACTATACTATAGAAATATTAAGAAACAAAGACATATTTGTTGCCAAAATTGTATGAATTCTTAAAAGATCAAAAACTTGTATTAATCACTATATTAGATAATTAAAATTAATTAAAACTATTAACTATTTATAAAGAAAAAAAAGTGAAAGAAAATCAGTTATTAATAACTGTTTTAAATGATTAATTCTTTAAAGAATTAAAAAAGATTTATCAATTAAACAAATGCCAAAACATATTTTATCTATTGAACTTCCATTTACTTCTATTTCCTATTAAACTTTAATTAAAATTTTTAGAAAAAACAATATTCAATCCTATATTGCTTGGCGAAAACTATTTATTAGCAAGACAAATAGACTTAATTAACTAAATTAAACAAAAGTTTATCTAAATTGGATACAAAAAGATTGGAAACATATTTTATGAACAAACAAATCCACCATTAGTATTGACTATTATGGTAAAATCTGTATTTGGTATCATAAAGATGAATTATATAATCCAAACTATATTCAAACAACTTTAAAAAGTGGACACAATTAATTATGGTTTGGAGATATATAAATGAATATAATTTATGCTATTTACATTGTACCTCATCACATATGAATAGTAAAATATAGAAATATTATTTTGGATACTGTATATTCAATAGTTTTAATAACAAACAAATTAATATTACAAGAAGATAATATTACAATTTACAAGTGTAAACTTGTGAAAAAACTTAAATCTGAACTTGGAATTACTATTATGGAATGGTTTCTACAATTATTAAACCTAAGTTCAATCAAAAATATGTGAAGGAAAGTTAAACATTGGATTTACAAGAACTGAATCTAAGTTGGAAGAGGCAGTTATTACAGCTTGAAATAATATAGGATTAGATAAAATTTATAATATTATTAATTCTATATCCAATTGTATAAATGAAGTGATTAAAAAAAAAGGATATGCAACCCACTGGTAGATTATTTTTTATGTAATAAAAAAAAATTTTGTTACATGTATTTTTTGTTATTATATAAACTAGGCTTAATTTTGATAGACCCTTCTGTACACCATCACCAACTTATAGAGAAGTGACACCAACATCAAACCGTCATGAATCCATCACCATCCGAAGATTCCTAGCAGAAGGAATGAAAATACTAATCGAGACAATGTAAATAATTTGAGTAAAGATTTAAATAATAACAAATAATGTGGGTGGAAAATTAGATAATGCGACATACTCATTATCTAAGTTAACAAATATGACCTCAAACCTTAATATATCTGCACCACGGAATAAAAATGATCTTAGTGGCAGAGTTTAAGTTACTATTTTGGGGGCAGAAAAATGCTCCCCGTGCGTCTCTCGTGCAGCATCTTTACCGCACTTGTGCAGGTGTGCTTTCGAGTGAAATTTCCGAATTATATATGGTCACATGATCGACTCGCGTAACGAATTTTACAATCTCGCGGAACCAATGTTGATATAAACTAAATCTTTGCTTAATAAAAATATAATTTATTTATTTAATAATATTAATTTTTTGCCAAATTTTTTTAATTATTGAAATTTTCCATTTATAATAAATCTATAGAAATTCAATAAATTATTATATTGGAGTAACAATGGTTCCCGCGAGATTTATTTAAAATTTCTCGGCGATTTTTACCATCTTCGATCACGTGATATATTTAATTCGGAAATTTCACCCGAAAGCACACCTGACAGGTGCGGTAAGGATGCTGCACGAGTGACGCACCAAAATAGTAACGCTGATGTATGATAACACGCGACAAAAATTAATAAATTTAAAAATTTATCAATGTCCAAGCCTGCGAATTCTCTCACTTTAGTTGAAAGTTTAAACCTTCGTCATACAGGTACAGCCTCGGCTCAAACTTTTCAATAATCACAAGCACCTTTAATATCTTCGCCCTTTACTTCTAGCATATTGGAATCGCGACCCAAACTCGGGGAGAAGTTTGGGGACATATACTTTATCGAAACTAATCCTGGATGCACAAAAGAGGAAGCGTATCGATCCTTAAGTCTTGAACTTGATATCCTCCTTAAAAATATACCAAGAAGGAGTTATCTTTTTACCAAGGCGACCGCCTTGAAAAATGCTTTAGAGGTCAGCCTTTCTTTTTTATTATAGGTGCACATACCATGCTCCGCAGTCGTGTTCTGAGCGATTCGTTCGCACAAGGCAACTCGTGTTGTTGCCTGAAGTGAGAAGTATACTATGGTCTAGACTCTTTAGGTCCCACCATAGTATGCGTCGGTAGCACCATTTACCGTTTGCCCATACCTTGCAGTCGTGTTCTGAGCGATTTATCGCACAAGGCAACTCGTGTTGTTGCCCGAAATAGGGATGCATGTTATAATCTAGGCATTTTTGCCCCATTATAACATGTGTGGGCAATCAATTAAATTATTTGTGACGATGTTTTCTAATACTATCTTTCATTGTTTATCCTAGAATAGTAACAATGATCCTGTAAATGCTTTATTATGGGAAAATAATGGAAGGTTATCAACGCTAGCCGTCACGGATCGAATAAATAAGGTATATTTGTCTTTAACTTATTATATTCATGATATTACATCAGCATTTATAACATCATTTTAATCTGTCATATTAGCGAGAAATTCGAAGCGTTATTATACAAGAAGAAATGGGGCGATATAAATTTGAACAGGAATATATAAGTCATGCCGAACTAGTGAAGATCTCGAAATCATTAACAATGATTACACTAGTGAGTCTAATGTAACACCCAATCAGGAAGAACCATCACCAGGGATTGATTATTATGAATCGATAAACAATAATGATATGCAAAACGGTAAGAAGCACCATTTTTGTCTTATATTCAGATATTATTATCTAAACTGCTCTTGGAATTATTTTTTGTTGTAAAGATGGATTTCAAACACCCCTTATCAAATTGTCAGTAACACATACAACCCGGTAATATCAATTGACGAAAATATACTAAGAATGTCTGTTATGAGTTTAGCCAAGCTAGATGAATCCAAGGTATTTGTTTGATGATAATTTGAGGTATATAATAAATATTCAGTAGTTTGCATTAAACAGTACTTCGGAGAATTTATCCCACATTTTATAAAATATAGAGAATCCCAGCAAAATGATCCATTTTCGTAAGTATTTGGATTGCTTAGGATGTATTTATAACCTATAACTAATGATTCTCAATATATAGTTACACGATTGATGATGTAATGGATATTCAAGGGGAAAGCGGGTTTTCTAAATTTTTGTCAGTTTATGATTACATAAAATTATTATCGAAAAAACCAAAGAGGAATGTTGAATTGCCAGAAGGTTGGCGTGATGTTATTGAAGAGTATTTTAAGGTAATTATATTATTGTTTGTATTCGTCATTTGCAGGAATTATTGAATCTATTATTATATAGGAAACGACCGAAAGTGGGTCGATAAAAAGTATATCTGACTGGATCCGTATTACAGAAGAGTTGAGAGTTGTAAAAGACGAGGATAAAGAGCTAATAAAAATCAAAAAATATTTGAATCTGGTTATGCATCCATTGTAAGTGCTCCGAGGTTTCTCGCTATTAATTGCCTATTGTTTCTAACATTTTATATTTATAGGATCGAATCGTTCTCAAAACCGGTCCCAGATATTAGTGCTCCAAACAGCAGTGAACATCATTATTGGTCAGAATTTGGACATCGTTTTTTCTCAAGGGCATTACAAGACTTTGTAGGCCTTGATTGGAGGGCGTAAGCATTAAGTTTAATTAAGTTATCATAGTATCGTTTTAAAAATTATGTTATGCCAAATTTGCTTTTATTTAGCATGGAAGTTCCCGTACAGGCCTCGAAGTATCGAAAAAATCATAGATACAATCATATAGAAAAAGCAGTTGATAGAAAATCTGCGAACTTGTTGGCGTGGATGTGGAAAACGGGCGAAGAAATTTTTGTTGGAGAACAAGCCGGACCCCCACTAAATGTGATTTAACAAAACTAGCAACCGATTCCTTTAAATTGTATAGAGAAATGAGAGATTGTTTAAATGTTAGAATTTTACGGGCCATGGGAAAGGGAGACATGAATTGCAATAATCGGTCGGTTTTCGGAATATTGGGTTATCTCTTCGAAATAAAAATGCTTATAATGTGGAAAGATGGAGTATATGTATATGAAGAATATGGAAGTTTAAACATTGCTTCAAACCCAGATATGATTTCAGAGATGAAATCAGGTATACTAAGGTTATTGGAATTTATGGTAAGTTACATTTTATAATTTTATGAATATTTTTTAATTCACCTATTCTAAATTAATTCTGTTATAGATGATCATTAAAGCCGAAACGAAAAATAACGTGACAACAGAATATGATGCTGATTCTGTACAGATTTCGAAAAGAAAGTATGATGAAATTATTCAAACAAAGCCATCACCTTCGAGAGTCGCGAAGAGATAAATATATGCTAGAGAACTTTTTCGTACGTTTTAATATAGAAGACATGTATCATCCACCTTTTAGAAAAAATATTATTGTAAATATCTCATTATATGGATAATTATTTTTGAATATGAACCAAAAATTTTTTGGTCCTAAAATAATAATCCCAAAATAATAATTTTAAAATTAATACAATATATACAGGGTGATTCATAATTTTTTAAAATTGATTTTTTAATATAACCATTAATAATTATTTAAATATTATAAAAATTTATAAAAATTTTTTTAAAAATCTATAGTTTAAGATTAATTAAAAACATTTTATTGTTTTTATATTTAAAATTTATGTTTAATATAAGTTAACAAATATTAATAAAACAAATTTGCCAAAGTTTATATATGAGTTACTATAAAAGTATAGTATAGTTTTTTAAATTTTTATAAAAAAAATATAATATTTTAAAATTTGGGTTAGTTTTATTATACAATGTAAAATTATTTGTTTTATATAAAATTTTATAAATTATTTGTTTATAATTTAAAAAATAAGTTTGCTTAAACTTATCTTATAAAATATTTTAATAAAACATTTTTTGAATATAAAATTTTTTGGATTTTTTTAATATAAAAATTTAATATAAAATATTATATACAGTTTGGAACAAAAAAACTGGTACTCAATTTTTTTTATTAAAATTAATAATTTTTTTTATTAAATAATTTTTTTAAAAAAATCATATTTAAAAATTATTAAATATAAAGAATAATTTTTATTAAA